CCAGTTCCAGATGGGTATACAGCAGAATTTTACAAAACCTTTAAAGAAGAACTAATACCAATACTTTTCAAGCTACTTCAGGAAATAGAAAAGGAGGGAGAACTTCCAAATTCATTCTATGAGGTCAACATCACCCTGATACCTAAACCAGACAAAGACTTCAAAGAAAGAAAACTACAGACCAATATCTCTAATGAACCTAGATGCAAAAATCCTCAATAAAATTCTGGCGAATCGGATACAAAAACATATCAAAAAAATTGTACACCATGATCAAGTAGGATTCATCCCTGGGATGCAAGGCTGGTTCAATATACGGAAATCAATAAATGTTATTCACCACATCAATAGACTTAAAAATAAGAACCATATGATCATCTCGATAGATGCGGAAAAAGCATTTGACAAAGTACAGCATCCCTTCATGTTCAAAACTCTAGAAAAACTAGGGATAACAGGAACATACCTCAATATTGTAAAAGCAATCTATGCTAAGCCTCAGGCTAGCATCATTCTGAATGGAGAAAAACTGAAGGCATTCCCTCTAAAATCTGGAACTAGACAGGGATGCCCTCTCTCTCCACTTCTGTTCAACATAGTTCTCGAAACACTGGCCAGAGCAATTAGACAGACGAAAGAAATTAAAGGCATAAAAATAGGAAAAGAAGAACTTAAATTATCACTATTTGCAGATGATATGATTCTATACCTAGCAGACCCAAAAGGGTCTACAAAGAAACTATTAGAGCTAATAAATGAATTCAGCAAAGTGGCAGGATATAAAATGAACACGGATAAATCAAAGGCATTCCTGTATATCAGTGACAAATCCTCTGAATTGGAAATGAGGACAACCACTCCATTCAAAATATCTTCAAAAAAAATAAAATACTTGGGAATCAACCTAACAAAAGAGGTGAAAGACTTATACAATGAAAACTACAGAACCCTAAAGAGAGAAATAGAAGAAGATCTTAGAAGATGGAAAAATATACCCTGTTCATGGATAGGCAGAACTAACATCATCAAAATGGCGATATTACCAAAAGTTCTCTATAGGTTTAATGCAATGCCAATCAAAATCCCAACGGCATTTCTTGTAGAAATAGAGAAAGCAATCATGAAATTCATATGGAAAAATAAAAGACCCAGAATAGCAAAAACAATGCTAAGCAGGAAGTGTGAATCAGGCGGTATAGCGATACCAGACTTCAAACTATACTACAGAGCAATAGTAACAAAAACAGCATGGTACTGGTACCAAAACAGGCGGGTGGACCAATGGTACAGAATAGAGGACACAGAAACCAATCCACAAAACTACAACTATCTTATATTTGATAAAGGAGCTAAAAGCATGCAATGGAGGAAGGATAGCATCTTCAACAAATGGTGCTGGGAAAACTGGAAATCCATATGCAACAAAATGAAACTGAATCCCTTTCTCTCGCCATGCACAAAAGTGAATTCAAAATGGATCAAGGAGCTTGATATCAAATCAGAGACGCGCCGTCTGATAGAAGAAAAAGTTGGCTACGATCTACAGTCGGTGGGGTCGGGCTCCAAATTCCTCAATAGGACACCCATAGCACAAAAGTTAATAACTAGAATCAACAAATGGGACTTACTCAAACTAAAAAGTTTTTTCTCAGCAAAAGAAACAATAAGAGAGGTAAATAGGGAGCCTACACCCTGGGAACAAATCTTTACTCCTCACACTTCAGATAGAGCCCTAATATCCAGAGTATATAAAGAACTCAAAAAAATTAGACAATAAGAAAACAAACAACCCAATCAACAAATGGGCCAAGGACCTGAACAGACACTTCTCAGAGGAGGACATACAGTCAATCAACAAGTACATGAAAAAATGCTCAACATCTCTAGCTGTCAGAGAAATGCAAATCAAAACCACCCTAAGATACCATCTCACTCCAGTAAGATTGGCAGCCATTAGGAAGTCAAACAACAACAAGTGCTGGCGAGGATGTGGGGAAAAGGGTACACTTGTACATTGCTGGTGGGACTGCAGATTGGTGCAGCCAATTTGGAAAGCAGTATGGAGATTTCTTGGAAAGCTGGGAATGGAGCCACCATTTGACCCAGCTATTCCCCTTCTTGGTCTATTCCCTAAAGACCTAAAAAGAGCATGCTACAGGGACACTGCTACATCGATGTTCATAGCAGCACAGTTCACAATAGCAAGACTGTGGAACCAACCTAGATGCCCTTCAATAGACGAATGGATAAAAAAAATGTGGCATTTATACACAATGGAGTATTACTCTGCATTAAAAAATGACAAAATCATAGAATTTACAGGGAAATGGATGGCATTAGAGCAGATTATGCTAAGTGAAGCTAGCCAATCCCTAAAAAACAAATGCCAAATGTCTTCTTTGATATAAGGAGAGTAACTAAGAACAGTGTAGGGACGAAGAACAGGAGAAGAAGATTAACATTTAACAGGGATAAGAGGTGGGAGGGAAAGGGAGAGAGAAGGGAAATTGCATGGTAATGGAAGGAGACCCTCAGGGTTATACAGTGGAGGAGGTAGAGAGAGAGGAGGGGAGGGGAGGGGAGAGGTGGGGAGGGGGGAGGGTGGAGGATGGGAAAGGCAGTGGAGCACAACAGACACTAGTATGGCAATTTGTAAATCAATGGATGTGTAACTGATGTGATTCTGCAATCTGTGTATGGGGTGAAGGTGGGAGTTCATAACCCACTTGAATCAAAGTGTGGAATATGATATGTCAAGAAATTTGTAATGTTTTGAACAACCCACAATAAAAAATTAAAAAAAAAAAAAAAAAGATTGATGAATGACATTTTTTCCTCTGTCCTTTACTGCTGCTTCACTTGTGTAAGGCAGACATTTTCTAGTCTATTTAGTTCTCTTCTTTGCTTTCTATTTTTAAACTATTTTCTTAATATCTGCCATGAGGATGATCATTACTACCTTGATTTAAAATGAAAAAGAAAATGCAATACAAAAAAATCTTGATTCTTATTTTTTGAAATAATGTAATATGGCAACTCTGAAAATCAAATACTACCTCTCTCCAGGATATTCTGAGATTGCTGCTTTTTGTAGTTTCTGTCTAATTATTTTTTCTGTACTTCTGTGAATTCTGTATCCTATATCATATAAGTCCACTCAAGTTTCTGCATGGTTAGCTTATTTATCAGCTAATGATTGGACAGAGATTTTCTTGAATACCTTGAACTGCCAATTCTTTTAAGCTTGCTTGGGGGTTCCATGTGTGTGTTGGGGCATGTGTTCAGTAGTCCTATGGGTAGTATATGATTCTGCCTTAGCTAATACTTGCTATTTCAAAAAAACCTCCAATTACATAGAAAGTAATCTTTTAGTAATTTTCCTGGGCTTACATTCACACAACCCTTCTTATATGTGTAGCCTTTCACATGCCCCCAAAATACATCAGAGGATTATGACATCTTATTTCCCAGATTTTCTTTTTAAGATCTTACTCAGCCTCTATTTAGTCCAAACTACCAATGCTATTTCATGCAGTTTTGGCATTAAGTTATTGACCCTATTCTTTGCCACAGAAGCCTTGAGGGTAGGGGTGTTTCAATAGAATGAGCTCCTGCAATTCATTCAGAGAAAGATAAATCGTGGAGAGATTCTCACCAAGCTACCTGTCAGGTCCAACAGTGACATTTATGGATCTCGAAATATTTCCTTCCTCCTCAGTAGCTGCTTGGATGTTGGTTGTTCACAGGTACCATGGCGGCCAGCCTGTTGATTTTTGAACATTATGAAGAGCTGGAGAGAGGAATGGGATTAAGGCAATTGAAAATGATACAAAGCTCACTCTCCTTACTTTGCTTTGGCTGTCTTTGTTTCTTTCTTTGTATGAATAATCACCTTTTAGATAGTTTTCAGCATTTATTAATTCCCATAGTTTCAAAAATTTTATTTTTGCTTATTTTTTAGTTGGTGGTCTTATTGTTCTTATGAAAAAAATCAGATTTTCAAAGATTGTTACTCCATCATTCTGGACCATTCTTTCAGAGTTTATTAAATCTTTTGGCTTAAGAAGATGTATAATAGCTACTAAATACGAAACAATAAAAATCAGAATTGAGGTGATTTTGCAGTTGATATAGGAAAGGGAGACTGAGAGATGATTGAGTTATGGTTACATACAACTTGGCCAGATACAGTGGCTCATTCCTATAATCCCAGTGACTCAGAAGGCCAAGGCAGGAGGAGCATAAATTTGAGGTCTTCCAGGTTAATTCAGAGAGAACTTGTTTCAAAAATGTAAAAAGCAGGGGGGACTGAGGATATAGTTCGGTGGTAGAGAACCCGTTGGTAGAGAACCCGTTGGTTCAATCTCAGTACTGAGAAAACAAAAATCTTGAAAGAAATTTGGGTTATATAATTGAAGGCTATGTTGAAAATCAGTGAACATACACTTAAAGTTTATGCCTTTCATTGTATTTAAATGTCATATGTAAAGAAACAAATAAAAATAATTATTGAACTCTGTACATGATATGAGTTCTAAAATATTTAAGTGAAAATATATAAATGTTTGCAATTTACTTGGAGTGTGTCCAAAATAAGAGGAAGAATAGGTACAGGAACTGATAGGTATGTGAAAAAAACAAAAGTTTAGTAAGATTAAGGGCATGTAGATAACTTGCTGTAAAAAATGATTACATTTTCATTTAAAAAAAATCATAGTAAAATCTTATGAGTAAAAACCTAAAGTAGGAGACATATATTAGTTTTTTTTCCTTTTAAAGTTTTATTAAAGTTTAATGAACAATTAATATTTTATCTTTTGGGGGGATTAACCCCAGTACAAAAATATCATTGATGATTTGACAAAAATGGCTCCACCTAGGGCTTGAAGGTTTGAGTTTCTCCAACAGTAATAAGGGAAAGCATGCTTCCAGCTAGGGCTCGGTCCAAGCACATAGTCGTTCCTGCACACGCACGCACGCTAACAGCCTGAGCAGGAAAAGAGGAAGGAGGATGCAGAGATTCAGGAAGAAGCCCAAGATTATTCCCAGGAGAAAAAGACAAAAAAACAGGCTGGTCTCCTTGACAGGGGATAGAATTACTGATTTACATTTAGGATTTACTGTTTTCTTAAAAATTGCTATTCCGGCCATTTTAACATTGTAGAAAAGATGCTACTTGTCTCTTTCACCACTAAGGTGAGTAAAGCAGGAGGAAATGGGAAAAGACTCAAAATACTGAAGTGTAAGTGAGGTATTAACCTCCAAGTGGCTCAAGTTCTGTGTCAGGTTTCATTCTTTACATTCAAAGACAGATGGACATTTAGGTGACAGGGAGCAAAAGAAGCAAGTCTGCCACACTGCTGGATCCACAAACAATCAGACCAGCTTCTTTTAACAGATCTCTTCCACAGTGAGAGAGCTCCTTCCAGTGTAGGAAGAAAAAAGGTTTCCTGGTCAGTTTAATTGTTTTGGGCAATTCCTCAATATTCTCTCCTCTGCTGCTTTCCTTCCAGAACACTATTTTTAATGAAGGAAGGGATATATCTGTGTTACAATTCATCTTCAAGATGTTTTTCTCTGAAGGCATCACCTGTCAGTCTTTCCTGAGCTTCCTTCATCCCCTGAACAACTTGCTCAGCATTGATGTAGAAATACTTGTAGCTGGGGTTTCCATTCTCATTGATGATTTCAGGATGCACCTTGCCACTAGGATCCAAGAAAAGAATTCGTGGAATATAACCCCCATCAGGGCTGAAATCTTCATCCTTGGGTTCTTCTTCATCCTCAAGATTTACCATAACAAAATTATGGGAAAGTTCAGAAATTTCTGTAGATTCTGCAAATTTGGGCTTTAAAGCTTTGCAAGCTCCACACCAAGACTTATGGATAATCACCATAATAGGCAATCCACTGGCTGCTGCTTCTCTCTTCCCATCTTCTAGTGTTCTCCAGTGAATATGATCACCAAAACCCTTTCCAAGCCCAATGTGTCCGTCAGAAGAGGTGATCAGGAGCAGGAAACTGAAGCCCAGCAAACAGGTGGCCCCGAGACGAGGCCACATCTCCATGGTGCTAGGTGCGCAGGACCACCGGGTTGACCCGACACAGGGCCGAGTCACCGCAAGAGATCCGTTTCTTTTCCTTAGAGCGGGGTCAGCCCAGACCCTCTCTTTCTCAGATTTTTTTTTTCGACATATATTAGTTTTAAACATACTTTAAAAAGAAACTCGTGGAAACACTGATAGAAAGTTTTAAAGATAAAAGTCAATCCTTGCCAAAGGGGAGCAGCTAAAAATCCTTCAGGAATTGAAGGATTGTTAAAGAAAAAAAAAAAAAAAAGACTGCTGCTTTGCTTCTGAGCTGTGAGAAGAGAAATTAATATCATTTATAGCTCCATACAAGTGACATTTTAGAGGTTTTTCTGTAATAGAATAAAAACATGAAACACTGCTTTCTGTTTTATCAGTCTATTTCTGTAAAAGTAAGAGAAGTAGCAGATGAATCAGCTATCAGACTTTTATGAGACCAGTGAACACAGTAGTTTAGTTCAAATCTGTGTAAAGATAAAATTGGTTCATAGGAATCTGGTGAGGTAAAGATTGTACATAGCATCTAAATGCAATTGAATCAGCATACACTGGAAGCATCTTTATTTTTCTCAGAAATTTAATTAGCCCATAGTTTCAAAAATTAATGTAGAGTGTGATGCCTTGTCATCCAGATGAGGCTATTTGTCTTTTTCAAAACAGCTAAATTGTCATTTAATGTCATTGCATGATACAAAGTTTGGCTATACACAGTAAAAAATGTATCAGCAGTTACCACCACAGTAGAATCTATTACATAATTGGAAGCACAAAGTAGTGCCTTTGGAGTTGAGGGGAAGGAATTGAATAGCTGGCTCATCATGCTGTTTAACAAAGCAGGAAACAGGACTGTAGGCAGTAACAACCTGACATTTCAGGTCATCCAGGCTGTGTGGATCTCTGCACCTGAGAGAGCAAATGGAGCCCAGAGACACAGGGCTGTGGAAGTGTTGTTTAATCACCTTAGGAGATGTCTGTACTATGTTTATCTTGCTCTCTTTTATGGACAAATAGGAGCTCTTAGGAAAATAATGTATCGAATCTCTGGCTATGGAAGCAGAAGAAAAGATCTTTGTGGAAAGACATTTTTAATACATAGTGTCTACTACAGAAACAGGCATGTGGTAGTGACTCAGGCAATGTTTGCTGATTATATAAAAGCATGAATGAATTATAGTGTGGTGATTTTCTCACCACACTTACATTTTGAATAATGAGCTTTTTTTTTTCTTTTAACTTTATGATGTCACAAAATCTATACACATTCAGCAGAAATCACACTTCAAATTTCGAACTTATATCGTTTCCCAAGCTAGCAATGTACAATACTTTTGTACTACTCTTTTGTGATTCTGAGTAGCAGTGGTGAACAACAACTGTCAGTCAGCCTTGAGATAATAAGGTTAAAAACACAGCACTCTATTGTGTAATATGTTCTAAGGTATGACATTAGGTACCTTAGGTGTATTAAATTCATTTTAACCTTACAATATTTTCAACTTTGGGGGATATAATCTGATCATATGTCAAAGGCCAAATGCTTATAAATTTCACAAAATCTGTGCTGGATTTTATTTAGAAATCAGTCTTATCGTACTATGTCTCAAGAACCGTACAGTCTTCTAGGTAAGATGAATTGTTATGCAAATCCAAAGTACAAGTAAGAAAATAATATGTTATAGTAGCATATAAAATATGTCAAATCATCTGGGAAAAAATTGTGGATGTAGAGAGGATGCTAAAATATTCATAGGGAGAAATATGGATGGGAAATTTAGGGATAGAAAAGGTAGGTTAGGTGAAAAAATGAGAATACAATGGAACTAAGAAAACAATTAATTTTACTCAGTTTCATATAATTACACATAACTGGTAAAAGTCTGTAATTCAATGAGTTTTTGTTTATTTATATAGTCATATGACCAACACTCTAATTGTGACATAGACCATCTTAATAACTTATAAAAAAGTTCCCTTGTGCTCTGTATTTGTAACATATTGGCACTAAATGAATTACCACACATTTAGTGGGTTAAAACAACAGAAATGCACTCTTGATACTTTTAGAAGAAAAATATTCAAATTGAATCCTATAAGCATAAAACCAAGTTTGGCAGAGCTAGTTCTTTCTGAAACTCCAATGAAAAATCTTTTGTTTTCTTCTTGCAGTTTCTGGAGATGTCAGCATCCCTTGGCTTATGGCTGTATGACTGCAATCTCTCCATTTTTACACTTAATTTTTCTTTTCGTCTTTCCTATGCCCCTCTCTGACTCTATGTGTACCCACTTTTATGGGATCACAAAAGTCCCACCTGGATATCTCAACCTCAAAAGCCTTAATGTCTACAAAATTTGTTTTTCCATGTAAGATAAAATGTACAGGTATAGGGGATTATGACATAGATTATTTTATGTGGGTGTTGGTGAGATTAATGAAACTACCACAAGCATTTTTGATATCAGTTCCCTGCTTGTAACCATTGGCTATAGAGATTACTAACTTGCTTTTTAATATTATGCTTTTTCCCTTGCTAAAAAGTCACATAAATGGCATCAGAGGTCATGCAGCAATCTTTTTCACTTGCCATAATGCTTTTGAGATTAATTCATTCTGAAAATATTAGTAATTATTCTTTACTGTTGAACATTGCTATGATTTGGATATAAAATGTACCCCCCAAAGCTCCTGTGATAATGCAGGGATATTCTGACACAAGATAATTAAATTATGAAAGCTGTAATCAAATCTGGGGATTAATTTGAATGGAGTAATTGGGTGGTAATTGGTAGGCAGATGGGGTATGGCTGGAGGAAGTAGGTCATGGGGGAGTGACTTTTAAGAGTTATCTTCTCTGTGGTCCCTTCAGCCCCAAACACACGCTCTTCCCACTTTCTACTTATCACCAGCTGAGAAGTTTTCCTCCACCACCACTTTCCACCATGATGTTCTGCCTCACTTTGGGCTTAGAGCAATGCAGGCGGCTAACCTTACACTGAAGCTCAGAAACTATGAGACCAAATAAGCTTTTCCTCCTTTATGTTGTTCTTGTCAGGTATTTTGGCCACAGTGACAAAATGTTAAAGACAAATATTATTCTATTGTGTGGATAAGTTGACAATATGTTGTTTCATTCACCAAGTAATGGCTGTTTGAGTTCTTCCAGGTTTTGGCTATTATGAATGAAACTACTATGAATATTCATGTACATGTGTTATTTTGAAATGTGTTTTCATTTCTTTCAGTTAAAAGCAAGGATATAGAATGTATATGTCATATGATTTAAGCATATTCAACTTTATAAAAAACTCTTCAATTTTCTTCCAAAGCGGTTGCATCATTTGCCTATTTGGCAATGTATGAGCAATTCAGTTGATCCTTATCCTTAATAACATTTGCTATTACTGTTACTTGTTTTTAACAATTCTAAATGGTATGCAGCTGTATCTTATTATGCTATTAATTTATATTCAACAATGACTAGTGATTGACTCTCATGAGTTTGTTTACAATTAATACATAATTTACATTGTGTCTATTCCATTTTTTGCCCATTTTAATAGGGTGTTTATCTTTTTATATAGGTTGAAAGAGCTCTTTATATATTATGGATATAGATTATTTATTAAAAATGATTTTCAAAAAAATATTCTTAGTTTTGTATTGCACTTTTTATTTTACTAACATTGTCATTTAAATAGCAGAAGATTTTAATTTTGTGAAGTCCAATTTATCTTATTTCTTTTATATTTCATGTTTTTGTCATTTCTAAAATTTAACAACCTAATTCTCAATAACATGGATTCTGTTCTATGCTCTACTATAAATTTAACAGCTTAAGTGCAGACATTTACCACTATGATTATTTAAAGCTAATTACAAATTATAGTGTGATATATAAGCTAAGGTTCATTTTTGTTGATACGGTAAATTGTAAAGAAAAAGAAAGGAATATACTTGAAATAATAGAGGGAAATAATGTTGAGAGCCACAACCAAGTCAAGATGGCACCTGGCACTTTGCCAGGGGGAGTGGTTTGTGAAGCAATGGCCACCGAGCCATTAAGATGATGAGGATTCCTTATTGGCTGACTGCTGTATCTAGATGATGTTAATTAAGTTAAGCTGTGTGTAATTAGTTAAGCATATATACCTCTGCTGTCCGACAATAAAGCAGCTCTGGCTACCTTGGGTGCTGGCTACTTTTGAGTTCTTGCTCAGTTCTCCTTGAGTTCACTCACAGTAAAGTAGTTCCCCCTTGAACCTTCAAGTTGCTTGTCACCTCCTGGTTATTTGTGTCCAGCCATACGGCGGCAAAGTAAGAGAAAAATCTTTCTTAAATAAACTTTATACTTTGCAATAGTTTATATTTTAGATAATTTTTAATTTATGAAATAGCTGCTGTGAGGAGTAAATTTATGTGCCAACCTTACAGAATAACAGGGTCCCCTGTAGCATTGTTGAAACATTATTTACAGTTGTTTCTCTAAGGATATTTTGGAAAGAGATAAGCATTTGAATTTGTAGCTTCAGTAAAACAAATTATCTCCACATGGTAGATGATCATCTTCCAAACTTTGAGGTCCTGAATAGAATAAAAGGCAGGGAAAAGGAGAATTTGTTCCTTGTACCTTACCACTTGAACAGAAGTACATGGATCTCCTGGTCTCACACTGAGGTTGACAACATTAATTCTCCTGGGTCTCAAGGTTTTGGACTTGGACTAAGTCATATTAAACTGATGCTCTTCAAACCAAGTCTTCTCTGAAATGTAAGTTTTTATTTAACCCTTAGATATGATACTAAGAAATGGACAAGGTTCTGGGTCAAGTTCCAGAATTAACAGCAGGAAGGCTAGTTGAAAATATGTCAGCTGGATCTAAGAAACAAGAGAATTTTTGTATTGAAAATTTGGGAAGGGCATAAATTGTTTATGTTGACACTGCAGTAGCTATAGACAAAAGGAATAGAATGATGCAAAGTGACAAAGTTT